ATACTGCCATTATTGGTCTTTTTATATAAATATACATATGTATATATATATATAAATTATACATATATAATTTGAAAAAAAAAGAAACCCTGTCTCGAAAAACCAAAAAAAAAAAAAAAAAGGTATAATGGAGTGGAAGAATACAGCTGTACAGAAGCCAATCTTCTGTATATTAATAAGTTCTTTAATCTGAACTTATAATTATAAATTAATATATTAATTATAATCCTCTGATAACTACTTTAAAAGTAGTGAAAGAGGAAGAAGTTAAATTGATAAAATGTTTATTTGCTTTACACAAAGGAGATAATAACTAGTGTCTAAGAGGATAAAACAGCATAAAGAAAAAAGTAGCTCAACACCAGGAGAAAATCCTAACTTACCAGCAATTGCTTTAAATATAAATGTATTAAATGTTCTGCCTAAAAGGCAGAGGTTGGCAGAACAAATAAGAAAATGATCCAATAATAAGTTTTCTATGAAAAAAACAAAAGGAAAAACAGAAAGTTCAACAATAATATGGAGAATATTATGGAGAATATGGAGAATATGACTGGACTGAAGATTAGGAAATAGAAGTTTGCACACAAAACCTAACCAGACCTAAGAGACATCAATAGCACATTCTACCAAAAACACAGCAGCATGAAATATCTTCTTCCCTACAAAGGGAACATTCCCCAGGAGAAGAATATAATGTTAAGCTTATTTAATAATAAGCTTAAAATTTTAAAGAATTAAAATTTAAAGAAGTATTTTTTTCAGCCCTCTGCCTGCTGCCTGAGAGCCTTCATCTAATAGCTGTTCGAAGCAGAAACAGGCACCCACAGCTAACCACTGAACCATACCTCTGGAATCCAGTTGTGGAGAGGGAGGAGGGATGAGCAAAGGAGCTAAGATGGTGCTGCAGAAACCCACAGAAACAGTTGACCTGACCTAGTGAGAGCATGGAGACCCTAGTCATAGATTTGGGGAACCAGCATTGGACCGAACCAGGCCTTCTGAATGTGGGTGCCAGCAAGGAGGCCAAGACAGTCTATGGGACATCTTACAGTGGAGCCAGTCTTTATCCCTAGAGCACAAATGGACTTTGGGAGCCCATTCCCTATGGAAGGTTACTATTGCAGCCCAGATACAGCAAAGAGGGCCTAGGCCCTCTTCCAAATGACATGACAGACTTTGAGGGTCCCTGGTGGAAGGCCTCACTATCCCTGGGGATGAGTTGGGGGATGGGTTGGAGGGGGTTGGTGGAGAACTTGGGAGGATGAGAGGGGGAGGGAATGGGGGGATGGATGTGTAAATATGAGTGGTAATTAAAGAATTTAAATAAAAAGAAAAAAGTATTTTTCAGATAATAATGAAATCAATGTAGAAATCAAAGTAAACTTATACAAGATTAATAAGATGTTAAAATTAACACATTCCTAAATAAGCAGGTCAAAAAGATTGCAATTAGGAATCTAAAGTATGTCTATAGAATGGGTTCATGGATACAAAAAACAATACATGAAATCAGCTGTATTTTATACATTAATGGTGATAAAAAGAAAAATAAAATAAGAAATCATTGGAGCATCAAAAAGGAAAATTTTAAGGGGAAAATTATGTAATCAAGGTTAGACATACACTGAAAGTTACAAAGCATGTTGGAAAAATACAATCCACAAAATAGGAAAATATTTGTTAATAATATTTCTTTAAGGTAGTGTGTATCTGCAACACCTACACCTCAACAATTTAAAAGAAAGACAACCCAATATTTACAAAATAAAGATTTGAGTAGACAGACAAGTGGCCAGATATCGTAATCAGAAAAATAAAAGTCAAAACAATCATCAAAGATTTTCCTGCCCACTAGGTCAGCCACAATCAAAGACATGGACAACAATGAGTGTTGATGAGGCCTGGAGGAGTGAGAAGCCCCTACAATGCTTATGGAAATGTAAATTGATACTACTGCTCTGAGAAACCATCTGACTATGATAGCCGATGCTTATTATCCACTTGACAAGATCTAGAATCGCCAAGGAAACAAGACTCTGGCACACACCTGTGAGGGATTGTGTAGATGAGGTTATTTTCTAGACATGCCCGTGAGGGATTATCTAGGTTACATTAGCCATTGGCCTTGCCTGTGAGGGATTATCATGCTTTGATTAACAAAGATAGAAAATCCATCCTAATAATGTGTGGTACCATTCCCTGGGCTTGGGTCTCTGGACTGCACAAGGAAGAAGCTATCTGACTGAGGACCAGTATCCATTGCCCTCTGCTTCCCAGCTGTGGATGCAATGTGACTAGCTGCCTCACGTTCCTGCAGCCTTGACTTCCTTGCCATGATGGACTGTACTTCCAAACTGTGAGCAAAAATAGACCCCTCTTACGTCATGTGGACTTTTCAGAGTATATGCAATGGCTCTATTGGTTGTCAACTGGACTACATCTGGGATTAACGAAAATCCCAATGACTGGACACACATGTGAGGGATTTCTTTTTCCTTAATCAAATCATTTGAAGTGGGGAAATCAACTTCCAATCCAGATTTTTGAGGTGGGAAGATCCACCTTTAATCTTGGCCACACCTTCCGATGTCAGCCTGTATAAGGACATGGAAGAAGAAAGCTTGCTCTCTCTTTGCCTGCTTGCTTTCACTCTCACTAGCAAATCCATTCCTTCACTGGCATTAGAATCTACTTCTTTGGGATTCTGGCATTTACTGAAGACCATCTGGGATATCCAGCCTTGTAGACTGAACAGCTACTAGATTCTTGGACCTTCTGTTGGTAGATAGTCACTGTTGGACTAGCAGGACCACACACAGTCTATAAGTCATTCTAATAAATATCTCTCTCTCTCTCTCTCTCTCTCTCTCTCTCTCTCTCTCTGTTCCTATAGAGAACCCTGACTAATACCTTATCTTATCACAGAAAAAAAGTAGAAGTCAGCTAAGACAGTTTCCCAAATGGTTAGCAAACAGTAGGACCATTAACTCGATAGTTCTACTCTAAGGCATATACACAAGAAACATTTACCTCAAAGCTTGACTACAACCTCATAGTAGCTTTGTTCATACCAGCGAAAGGATGGAGACAATTCAAATGCTCACAAAGGCTTTCATTCAGTTAACAAGTTCACTGTCCATCATTGCGGGAAGTCAAAGAGAGAACTTGAGCAGAAGCCTAGGTGGAACACTGCTTACTGGCTCATTCACAACCCACGCTTAGTTAGATTCCTTACACAGTCCAGAACCACCTGGCCAGGGAATGGTGCTGCCCAGAGTGGGCTGGGCCCCACTGCATCAATTAGCAGGACAATTCCCTACAGACAGATCCACAGCCAATCTGACCCAGGCAATCCCTCAATTGAGACCCTTTTTTCCAGGTGACCCTGGGCTGTGTCAGTTGACAATTTAAGCTAACTAGAGCAGTGGGTTTTCAAAATACAAACAATCCATACCCTTTTGCTACTCAGTCTTTCCACACCATTATAAATTCTGAGAATGCAACCTGTGATGCGTGAGCCCTGTGTGGAGTCTGTAAATCAAATCTCCGGTCACATTAAAAATAAAGAGCTATGATGACGCATTCTCGGGCCAGAGGTGTCAGGCTGTGGCCACTTGCTTCACACCTCCTCCAGCCTCATCCCACCAAACTCATCAGCCTGGGTAAAGTGAGTCCTTACAGGCACAAAGGAGGCCTTAAAGGGAATTTGTCAAGGGAGGAGGAGGGAATAGAGCAGAGCTCTGTGAGCTTTGTGAGTTTGAAGGGAGTAAGAAGCAAACCTAAGGGAAACAATGCTTGTTTGCAGCGAACACACCATTAGAAAGATTCTTCTGTGTACTCATGTGTATGTGGGCACATGTACATAGGTGTACATACATTTGTTTGTGTGTAGGCCAGGGGTCAAGCTCAGGGCTATTTACATTGTTTTTGAGAAAGGGTCTTTCAATGGCCTGGGACTCACCAAGAAGACTGGTCTGAGTGGTCAGTGAACCCCAGATACCCACCGGTTCCCACCTCCCCAGCACTGGGATTACAAGTACACACCACTGTACCTGGCTGGTTTTTGTTTTTAAACATAGGCTCTGGAGAGAAAGCTCAGGTCTTATGCTCACAAGACAAGTGCATTACTGGCTGAGCCACCTCCCAGCCTATAATAGCTTTTCATCATGCAAGTTCTTCATGAAGGTCCTCAAGGGCAGGAGAGCACTGAATGCCCCACAGGCCCCGCATGTCCCACAGTGCTTGTCAGCTTTCTACATCATGAAATATTCTTGCATCCTAAGGAAACTGAATAGCAGACTCTCTCTCGTTCTCTCTCTCTCTCTCTCTCTCTCTCTATATATATATATATATATATATATATATATATGTGTGTGTGTGTGTGTGTGTATTTATATTTATAATTATCACCTAAGTAGCCCACATTTGGTGTTAACAACTGCTTCTCCATTAAATAGTAAAACAGCTATTAAGTGATTCTTATCCCTGTTTTCCAGATAAAGCCACGGTGACTCAGACAGTTTAAGGATCTTGCCCAGAGCCATATGGCAGATGAACAAGCCCTGAAGTTACTAGGCCACGGAGGCCAACAAAGCCAAAATGATGCTGACAGCAGGTGGCTTTGGCTAACTGTGACAACCAAGAAGATGAGGCACAGCACTTGTGTGGACACAGACCCAGAGAGGGGACCTATGGAAGAATCAAAGGGCTAGAGAAGACACAGCACGACAAAAAAAGTATTAGAATGGAGTTGTTTTTGGTAACCTTGTCTACTGTCACTATAGCTTCAAAAAACATGTTTCCTGCCCATTCAGAGCCATATGTGAGCTTCCATCTGTCGGTTTTCTGCGCCTCTGCCGAGCACCAGGCAGGTGTCTGTGAATTCTGGAAATGCGTGATGATCTGAGTCTGCCTGGAGTGCAGTGTGGGAGGCCGTTTTAAAGGAAAGTTTACAGACCCTAGATAAGCCACTGAGAAAGGCAGGCACAGCTACTCACCGGTCCTGGAGAGCAGGAATCTTGGAGGGACACTGCAGATACTGTTTGAACCGGAGTTCAAAGGCTTGTCCGATGGAGCCAATGACATCTTGGGCTAGCCCATCACAGCACTCCAGAATATGGCAAGCTTGGAGAGAAGGGGACATGTATTCATTAGAGACAGTGCCAGGGCTCTCTGAACCCCTTAACAAAGGGCCCATATGAGGGGCAGAGGAAAAGAGCCACATGCCTCCCTCCTGGTATATCTCTACCAACCCACAGTCTTGTCCCTGTGGGCATCCCATAGTGATGACAGACACGTGAAGTTCTCAGAAGACTTGTCTGCAAAAGTAAAGGTCTTACTTTCAATATTTAAAATTGATTTACTTCCATTTTGTGTGTGTGTGTGTGTGTGTGTGTGTGTGTGTGTGTGTTGCCTTTATGTATATCTACACATCTCATGTATGGGGTGCCTAAAGAGGGCAGAAGAATCCCCTGGAACTGGAGTTACAGGTGGTTGTGCGACACCCTGTGGGTGCCAGAAACCCAGCCTGGGTCCTCTGTAAGAGCAGCAAGTGCTGTGAACCACTGAGTCACTGCTCCAGTCCCTTGGTGGTTCTGATACTCTCAGAATCTATAAGCCAGTGGTTCTGACCTTAATAGGGAAGCAGTATTCAGAAAGAAAACTCAACTCAAACTGGATCTTTCACACAGTTTCCTTAAGGCCACAGGAACCTCAGCAATAGATATAAACTATGCCCCAGGTGGATCTTGATCTGTTCAATGGATGTAGAGAAAGTTGTTTTTTACTTAATCAGAGTAAAGTGCTGACAGCCAAATCTGACCAGAAACACCAAACAGCACAATGTAGGGACTGAGGAGGTAGCTCAGTTGTTGAAGCACTTGCCATGCAAACCTGAGGGCCTGTGTTCAGTCCCTAGGACCCACATAAAAAGCCAGGCCTGATAGCACAGGCCTGCAACTCAGTGCTCGGGTGACAGACTTGGGAGAACTCCTGGAGATCATCAGCTGGCCATGTAGTCTCCTCGGTTCAGTGAGAGAGCCTGCTTTAAAATGTGGTAGAGAGTGTGTCTGTTTCCTTTCCATTGCTGTGGTAAAGTGCTCCAGCAAAAACAACTTAAAGGAAAAAGGGTTCATTTGGCTCATAGTTCCAGGTTAAAGTCTGCCACAGTAGGGAGTCAAGTGGAAAGAAGGTTGAGGTTTGAAAGTGGAATACTCTGATTTAATCCTGGCACACAGTATTACTGAAACCTCACACTGTCTTATAAATAAATATAGCTGAGTGTCAACTAAAAACTAAACAGAGACTAGGAAGACCACTCAGCTGGTTAAGGGCTTGCTACGAGAGCCTGAGGACCGGAGTTCGGATCCCCTGAACCCTCATTAAAAGTTGTGTGCAGTGGTGCACATGTGTGAATCCAGTGCTGGAGAGGCCTGTGCTTGGTGGCTAGCTACTTTAGTCAAATAAATGAGCTCATGGTTCAGGGGGAGACCCTGTCTCAAGAATAAGATGGAGAGCAGACTACTTGTAGACCTCTCTCTCAGTCCTCTCTCTCTCTCTCTCTCTCTCTCTCACACACACACACACACACACACACACACACACACACACACGGAGGGGGAACATGATTTAAAATATTAAAGAAAATGATGTATTAGACTCCAACAAAGCTGGCATGTGGGGAGTCCCATCTCTACAAAATCAATCATTGTGTGGCTCTCCTATTGGTCACCAGCCTCCCGAAACTTCACTCCTGTGCCATCCTGATCTCCTTGAGATGGCTGGTGGTAGTTCCCACATAACTTAATGTCCAGGGAGTCAGGCCTCTTTTCCTTTCCACTGGATTAATTACAGAAGCCATGGGCTCTTAATAACTGAGAGGCAGATATAAAGTACCATTAGAAAAGCATACACCATTATTTTGCAAGGTAACAATGCCTCAGTTTTTCTAACAGCTCTGCATGTCAACCTCAGAGGGAGCCTTGGTGAAGGAACCAAGTACAGATATAGAAAAGCCGGGCCCGTGGACTTTGAAAGGTGAGGATGAGCACAATATGGCTGGACTGTGAAACACCACGGAAGCTGGGCCCTCGTTTGTTCCAAAGCGAAGTGCTTGGAGGCCAGACACATTGGAGACATAGGCTACAGCTTAGTGCCCAGTGTTGCTCTACAGACATCAGAGCATCAGAGTCACACAGAGTACATACGTGTGGGCATACGCACATGAGCTCATGTTTGTTGTGGCATGTGTGCACATGCACGTGGGTGCGTGTTGTCGGGGACCATTCCTCAGTGGACACTCACGTTGTGTTATGAGAGAGCGTCTCTCATTGGCCGGAAACTCGCCAACTAGGCTAGGCGGGCTGGCCAGAAAACCCCGGGATCCTCCTGTCTCCACCACTCAGCGCTGGGATTACAGATGTTGCCACCACACCTGGCTTTTCAGGTGGGCTCTGGGAAATGATCTCATCTTCTTATGCCTGCACCTACACCGCAAGCACATTACCAACAAAGCTGTTTCCCCAGGCCCCAAAGAGCTTTTAAACACATTATTGCCTGGATCCTATCCCCTCAGAGGAGTTGAGTGTTGAGATTTTGCTTTTGTTTTTTAAATAAGACTCCTAAGTAACTCTCAAGTATAGCTCATTTTGGGGACCACTGACCTGGACCTACTAAAGAAGTCTGGAAGACAAAATTGCCTAGATCACTTGCTGTTAATTTGAAACAAAACAAAAAAGAGAATGAACTCCAGCTGCCTCTAATCCAGATAGAGTTTGGGGAGCCAGTGCCTATGTCTCTCCTCCCCCACACTCGCCATGATCTGGGGGAAAGCTAGGATAGTTAAAAGGGCTGGCTTCTGTGGTGGGTTCAATTACGTCCCCTGTTTAAAAAGAAAAAGTTGGGGGGGTGGTAGGGGAGGAAGGGAAGGAGAAGGGAACTGGGATTGTCATGTAATTCAATCTTGTTTGTAATTCAAATGAAAAAAAAAGAAGAAGAAGAAAAGAAAAACTAACCCCGGGACCCTAGAAGGTACCCTTCTTTGGAAAATGGGAAATTTCAGATGTAACTAGTTAAAAGGAGGTCACAGCAGGAAAAGGGGGGCCCTGAGCCTCCTTGGACTGTCGTCTCTACAGTCACAGACTAAGGGAGTACACCACATTTGGATGAGTTTAAGTGGTGCACCTGCAAGCCAAGGGATAGTGAAGATCGCCTGTAATGACAGAAGCCAGAAGGAGGAAGGAGGGATTTCTCCTCCAGGACACAGTGGGAGCCCATATGGTCTTGTTGACACCAGGAACTGGACATCCAGCCTCCGGAACTGTGAGGCAACATGTCCTTGTTGCTTTAAACAACTTAATCTGTGTTTGCTGCCTTAGACAGTAAGCCCAGCCTGTAAGCCTGCAACAAGAGCTTTTGCTCAAGTGGTCTGGGCAGCCGTCCTAACTGTCACAGGTATAAGCCTGCTCACCTGGGCCAGCACTGGCTATGCACAGTCACCTGAGAAGACCAAGTATGAGTATTAATGCTAACAAAGCATCTCAGGGCCCTCACAACCCTGTCCCTTCTCTCCTCAGACCTGTCTAACTCTTTAAAGAAAGGCCAGAGTGGCTGTTCAGTTGGTGAAGTGCTTGCCTTAGGAGTACAAGGACCTGAGTTTGACTCCCCAGAACCCAGCTTTAAAAACAAAACAAACGAGCCGTAGTAGTGGCACACGCCTTTATTCCCAGCACTTGGAAGGCAGAGGCAGGTGGATCTCTATGAGTTCAAGGCCAGCCTGGTCTACAAAGCTACACAGAGAAACCCTGTCTCAAAAAAAACCAACCAACCAAAAACAGGCATCACAGGACAAGATTGTGCTCTCAGCCCTGGAAAAGCTATCCCAGGGTGGGTGCTGACTCCTGGACTCATGGGCCAATTAGCGTAGCCTACTTGGGGAATCCCAGGCCAGTGAGACTGCCTCAAAAAATAAGGTAGACAGTACCTGAGGAATTACACCCTATGTAGTCCTCTGGTCTTTACATACACACTCACACATGTGCACCTGCACACACACACACACACACACACACACACACACACAAACACACCTGTCTAACTGTCTCAGCTCAGTTCAGGAGAGGCATAGTGGTGATTCTAGACTAGGAACCTGTGCTGGGTTATCTATAGAAACCCGTCTGATTCTCTCCCTGACACCCTAAATGAAGACTTGTGAGGAGGCTCCAGTTTGCATGGGGAAGAACAGGAAGAACAAGCCAGACTTCCCCAAAGTCTCTACATTATCTTATGTCTTCAACTCCAAAACATCCCTGCTAGGAAGTCAGAACCGGCTGGGGGCCCGGGAGGGGAGACCCCCCCACATACTTACCATGGCAATGCCAATGTTGACAGCCAAGTTGGAAGCAGTTTGCCAAGATATTTGGCATATGAACTGTCTGCCACCTCCCGCTACTCTGCAAGAGCCTCTGGGACATGTCATATGCCAGCCACACAGCTACTGCCCCACTGCTGATAAAATACCTGGCTAAGCAGCTTAAGGAAGGAAGGGCTCATTTGGGCTTGCAGGTTGAGGGGACAGTCCATCACCTCAGGGCAGTCAGCCAGGGAGCCTGAGGCAGCTAGTCACATTTCATAGCTATGCAGAGAGAGATGACTGCTGGTGCTCAGGTCACTTTCTCTTTTTAATTTACTTCAGGGTTCCAGCCCATGGACGGTGCCACCCCCAGTAAGAGTGGGCCTTCAGTTAATCCAACCTGGGGACCCCCTTATAGAGGTACAGAGGTTTACCTACTAGGTGGTTCTAGGTGTTGTCGAGCTGACAATTAGTATTAAGGATCACGTATGATTCCTGCTCAAGGAAGAGAGCCGTGAAGAAGGGTTGGAAGAAGCCCTGCACCCCATCCCAAATTAATCGGCCCCTGTTGATTGCCCTGAATGTATATCCAAAATACAGGTTTGGGAGGAGGCTGGCAAAACAGAGTGTTAGGTATCATGTGTATTGGGGGCTTTTGTTGCTGTCATTTGTTTGTTTGTTTTACAAGAGAGAAAATATGTCTGTGAGTATGCAAGCAAAGTGAAAACAAAAACCAGCTGCTGGCACGCAGGACAAAGGCTAAGAGGAAGGAACCAGTCTGCAGTGTAGGGAAGAGCTGCTCTGCACAGTAACAGATTCTACTGGGTTTTGCCAATGACTTTTCATATGTAGCTGTGGCATGAGTCACCAGGAGCTGCCTAGTGTCCAAGGGTAGTCACCCAGAGTCCGCCGCCACCCTGAGTGTGTTATTATCCACCCTGGTTTTGTAAAGGGCATCCCTTCCTCAGCCTGTACCTGTGTCCCCAGTAGCAGGAGACAGGACAGTGTACACACACCGGGTGAGGCTGGTCAGGAGGATGAGCAGGTGTAGAATTTCCCAGACACACCTGAGGCCACTATCAGAGCACCAGGTGAGAGAGGTGATGTGTGACTTGGGTATCCCAAACCACGGCCATCCTAACACAGGTGCAAGTTTGGCACTCAGCTCCCAGTAGGCTCTCTCTCAGCCAGGTGACAAGCTATGCTTGCAGGCCTCAATTAGCCTTAATCGTGTCACGTGACATGTGCTCATTTGCTAGAACTGGGATAATGAGGAGCATCTGGTTCACACATCCAGCCTGGCTTCACACAAGCGAGTGATTAAATGGGTCGAGCATTGCTTACCTCTGCGATTAACAGGGTCCTTAGCGACATAGGCGACATAGTCTGTTGTGTCCTGTGGAAGGAAAAGGAGACATTTGTATCACTCATCACAGCAAGAGGGAGGACCATGGGGATGCAGGCACAGCACGGTAAGTACCCGTTCATCTGTCACACAGCCGAGAATCGGGGTTGGAAGGGAAGTAAATGGACCAGAGCTTTCCTAGTGTGTGAGAGCCTGAGCTCCTCAGTACAGAGAGATGAAGGAAGGAAGGAAGGGAAGGAGGGAGGAAGGGAGGAAGGGTCATATACTAGATACAAAATGAAACCAAATGGGCCTGGTTTGAGGCAGGTCCTCAAACTTGGGTGTGGCTGAAAAATCCACAGAGATCTGAGCGTGGTCTGGGCAGAGGAATCAGGATCAGCTGGGGCAGACATCACTAAACAAGCCCCTGGGTGTGCATGCCGCCTGTCTGTGCCCATACTCAGAGCAGCCAGGGTGACAGGCACCTGACCTCCCTGTGGCAGTTCTTCTGGGAGACTTTCAGAACTGGTTCTTGAGTAGCATTGGTGCATCTGACTTAGCTGGTTTGGATTTGAGACCTGACCTTGGGGACCTTTTTAAAGCTCATAGGCACACTAGTGTGAACCAAAGTCAAGACGCAAGGCTGCCAGTGATGGGCATGTGAGCTGTCCTCAGATGTCAGTTCCCATGAAAATCCCCGAAAGCCTTAAGAAAAACTGGCTGTACCCCAGTTTTCCATCTGGACCCCCAAACTGGACTACTGATAAGTTCCCAGCAGCTGTGAGGTTACAGACTATATTCTGAGAACTGATTGTTGGGGAAATACTAGGGTGGGTGTTTAAAGACTAGACACTCACAGTAGGCAAGATAAGAATTGGCCTAGCTGTTAATTCTGTATCTTGAATTACAGATGAGGGGAGAGAGAAAGCGTAGTGGCAACAATACTGTGGAGTTTGATGCGGCCGTGAAGAATGACGTCTCCTTTCCAGGAAAACAGATGGAATTGGAAGTCATTCTATGAAGTGAAGTAAGAGTCAGAAAGACTCATAGGTCAAGGCTGAAAAACCGAAAGACACAAAAGTCGAAGAGGGCAACAAGGAAAAGGAGGGGCGGGAGGAGAGAGTAAGGTTCATGAATGCCATCAAAGTGTGTCATATACATACAGGAAACTGTCACAATAAGCCTCATTATGTTAAACAATAGTGCATGGCTAATTTAAAGCATGGTAAATGGTTTTGTTTTGTTTTTTGTTTTTTGTTTTTTAAACATAGGCTGTATTTAGAAGCCTCACCCCTCAGTGTGAAATGAGTTTCCTCACCAGCCTTTTGAGGCCTTGATGGTCTGCCAAGGCAGCCTGCATCTACTCACTTCTGAACAAGCAGCCGGGGACCTGGTCATTTTCTTAATTCTTTTTAAAGCATTGTTGTCTTTAGTATTTCAACTCTCTCTCTCTCTCTCTCTCTCTCTCTCTCTCTCTCTCTCTGTGTGTGTGTGTGTGTGTGTGTGTGTGTGTGTGTGTTGAGCAAAACCATACAGCTTTACATCCACAGTCAGGAGCAGGGAGAGAGGACAAATTCATGGTTCTTTGCTTGCTTCCTTCTGCTCAGCTTGAGGTCTTCTGTCTTATACTGTTCAGAAACCCCGCCTAAGGAATGCGCCACCCACAGTGGTCTGCCTTTTCCTACCCTGTTGGGAGCCATACAGCTTGGCATGAACCTTTAGGCCAAACTTGGCAGGCCACAGGGTTATAGATCTGTCTTTTGATTATAAATAGCTTCTAGAAGCATGAGCACCCAGAAGGAACAACATGACCCAGATGTCAATCCTTTGTTCCAACCACAGACCCACTTACCAAGGCAACCCTCCCTCTCCCCACCACTTACCTAGGCAACCCTCCCTCTCCCCACCACTTACCTAGGCAAGCCTCCCTCTCCCCACCACTTACCTAGGTAACCCTCCTTCACCCCACCACCCATGAACTTTTTACCCTGCCAATATCCTCCTTCTATAGTTTTCTGACATCCTGCTTGAACTAACACCTAGCTCTTGGTCTTTTCTCCCCCTCCCCTTTACCCCATACTACTGACTATATAAGCTAGCCTGGAAAAAATAAACTTTGCCACTTGATCAGAATCCTGTCTTGTGGTCATTCTCTCCCATCTCTTGTCCCCATTCCCCTCCCTGGACTTCTTGCCCTAGGTTGCCATCCCATGGGTCGGGACAACTACACTACCCCACAGGCCAATCTGTCAGTCGAGGCTCTCTCTTCCCAAATGATTCTGGGTGGTGGCAAATTGATGGTTAAAACTAACGAGCACACGGGCACCACCCCTCAGAGGGCAGCTTGAAAGGACAGCCTGTTTTTGTAGTTATTTTTCAAAGCTTATGCTCCAAGGGGCTTCAAGCCCATCTACTGTGCCTTCTGTCTGAGTGGCAGTGGTCTGTGCTGACCTGTACTGTTCCATCCATGAGGAAGTATCCTCTCCCTCTTAAAAGAGATCCAGAAAATACAACGGAAGAGTGGAGAGGAGAGTGGGGATGTGGGGAGGAAGGAAGGGGGCAGGGAGCCCTCCAAGATTTCCAGAGAACAGAGGCATGGAGACTTTTCCAGTGGTAGAGAGAGACAAAGGAACCCTTGTCTCCAAGGCTCATCTGAGAGGAGTCTGTTTCCTGGTCTTTAATACTTCACAGACCGGCAAGAGAAAGGACAGGAAGACTATAAAACGGCCTCTATTCAATCCCATGGAGGGACATCTTCTAAGATTTGAAGCTGTTGGCAAAAATATGGATTGGAGCATATAGCTTTTCACTTTCCTCCCAGACTCATGGGATGTCACAACTCTCCTTAAGAAGCTTCAGGAATATCTTACCCAGAAGCCCAGAGCCCTGGAGCTTTGGAGCCACCATGTCCTTGAGTTGGTTCTGAGCACAGTTACAGAGTCAAGACTGAGGTCACAGACAACTTTCCCACATTATAGGAGCTGGGGTTTTTCAAGAAGCAGAGTAGATGCCTTTGCCCCCAGTTGACCCAAATTGCTGTCACTTTTGTGCCTAAGGTTGCATGCTGAAGGGTGTGTTTGAATAGAAGAAATTAGCAGAGGAACCAAACCACCTGGGGACTGTAGTAGAGGAGCTACTGTCCCCAAAAGGCACTAGTCAACCAGGAAGCCAGCTTAGAGATGCATGGCAGGTGAGGTGGGGGCGGGGGAGGGTGATGGGGAGGGTGGCATTTAGTTTTAACAAACTCTCTTTGTGGTACATTAACAGAACTACATGTGATGAGCTTCACAGCCTTCTTTCGTGACTTCCAAATTTGATGGGGGTTTAGAGTTCACGGAAACTGTACACACATGAGTCTATTGTTTCATTTTATGTAGCTAGAGAGCAAAATTAGCCCTCATCGGCACCAGTGGTTCATACAAGGAAGTCCTATTTTTTTTTTTTAAGGGGAGCAGTTCTTTCTCTAGTCTAAGAAACTACATAGTGACTGGGGAAGGGAGGCCCAGGAGGATATGACATCCATCTCTCAGATGGCTCATGGCCAAGCTAGGAAATGACCACTCTGTTGCCAATCTTGATCTTACCTGGCATCTGCTCCTAGTGGATCGGGATTCAGAGCTGTGTTCTTGGCAGTGCCCAGTGGACACACTCAGTTCCAGAGAAGAGGCTGTGGGGATCTTATTCTGTAGTTATTCCATTTCTTTTCTCAGTCACCAAGACCCTCTGGGCCAGGTCATTGGTCAGGCATCCTCTTGGGAATCTTTGTATGTATGCAGGGAGGGGGCATCCTCCTCAGGTGTCAGGGGAGGTGGGGGACAACCTCAGGTGTCAGGGAAGGTGGGGGGACAACCTCAGGTCTCAGGGGAGGTGGGGGACAACCTCAGGTGTCATTCTTCGGGCCTTTATTTTGAGAAGGGGTCTCTCGATGACATCTGGAGCTCACCAATTAAGCTAGATATGATCCTCCTGTCTCTGCCTCCCCAGTGCCAGGATTACAAGTGTACATCTTTTCATATGGGTTCTGGAGGTCTGAAATCAGGCCCTCATGCTGGTATGAAAAGCACTTTACTTTTGGTAATCTCCCAATACCAGGAGTTGGGGTACGTTGTCAACACTACATGTTCCTTTTTGGAAAGACAGATTAATAGTGTTTGTCTTTTTTATCTGTTTCCAGCTGGGTGAACCGATGAGACACAGAGCAAAAGTGTACACTTAGCAAGACAATAGGATCTCAGAATTGTGTTGTTTTGTCTTTTGAGACAAGCTTTGTAGCCCAGGCTAGTCTGAACTTCACAATATTCCTGCGTCAACTCCTATGTGTCTCATTATACCTGGATCATGACAGTTTCTGTATAAGGAAAAAATTACAGAAAATGTTAGATAGTATAGATCATATCCTATGTCACCAAATGTTGTCAGTCTTTTTTTTTTTTTTTAGGACAGGTCTCAGTATGCAGACCAAACTAGCCACTGGCCTAAAACTCAGAGTTCCTCTGCACCCTGGATGCTGACATTAAAGGTACACATCATAGTCATTTGTTCTTTTCTTTCCAGAAGAAATAATGAAAAATTTGAAAGTTTATAGTCTTGAGCATATCCTGGAAAAATGAAGCATTTTTAACAGAAGACAATGTATTTGGTTTTCCAAGATCTCCCTGTGTGTACCTCTGATCATATTAGCACTAATACATGATTTCAGAGGATTTCCAGGAAGAGGAGCCATTTAGGCAAATGAGAACTGGGTGGCCACCAATTTTTAAGACACTGTGGTTGCACCACTGCACTGCCACCAGTCAACTACTGCAAGCCACTTTGAACTAGAGATGAAGGGATACAGATGTAGGTCTTGGTCTGGGTGTGTGGGGGACTCAAGCAAGTGGGGCATGAGTTACATGCACACGAGGCATTGCTGTGCTTGGGGTCTAAGCTGTCCTCCAAAACTGTTCCTGTGAGGAAGGCTTGGCCCCAACTGGTGACCCCATCATTGGTAGGTGATTGATCATGAGGGGGATTGATCATCTCAAACATGGATAGATTTCCAGGGGAATTGATAGTGTGGTGGTTGATTTTAACTGTCAAACTTGACACACCCCAGAACCACCTGAATAAGGAGCCTCAATTAAGAATCCATCCAGATCAGGTTGGCCTGTGGGGATGTCTGTAGGGGGTTGCTTTGGTTATTAATTGGATTAGGAAGAAACAGCTCTTTCACTTTGACTTTCAAAGTGTGCAAACACCATTTCTTTGATGGTATCATTCCCAGGTTTTGGGACCCAGACTGTGTGGGGAAAGAAGGAGCTAGCTGATGCTAAGCAAGGAGTACTTGGTTAGTAGTCACTCGGTACTCAGCTACTTCAGCTCTTGGCTGTAGATGAGGTGTGACCCGATGTCTCAAGCACCTTCCACTGTGACTCCCCTGAAATTGTGAGCTAAAATAAGCCCTTTCCCCTTTCAGCTGCTTTTGCCAGGGCATTTTATCACAGCAGCAGACATGAGCCTAGGACAGATGACATCATTGGAAGGTGATAGAACTAGGAAGTACAGCCTGGTTAGAGGACGTAGGTCACCGGGGACAGACCTTCAAAGGGTCTGCCCTGTCTTCATCCCATTTTGTTTCTGCTTCCTGGCTCTCTCAAAGTGAACAGCCTTTTCCTCCACATGTGCGTCTCTGGGATACCCTCCCCTGCCTGGCTTCAAGTGCAAAACAGCAGACCCAGATGACCTCAGGCTGGCACTTGTGAACCAAAATAATCCTTTCCCTCATTTAAATTGATTTTTCTCACGTATGTCTCACAGTGATGACAAAAAAAAAATCTGTCAAATATAGACATGATCTTGAGAAATGTCCCATGGGTGAACACACAAGAAGATTTTCACCGTCTAAATCTCCATCTTAGTGAGAGAGTTTATGTTTCAATGAGGTATAAAAAAAAAAAAAAACAACACTAGAAAGACAAGAAAGACATGGCCAGGGAGGGATAGAATAAAAGGAAAAGCATCGTTGGGAGACCTTTGAAAACAATATCCTACGTGAAAAGGGCCCAAACCACTGGCACCAAAAAAAAAAGTAAAAAGGATATCTTAAGTTATAGAATTTTTTGTCATTTGAATGAACTTGGGTTAAAAATATTCCTCATCCCATTACCCTGCTTTTAATTTTTTGTCCGTAGCCACTGAAAACTTTACCCAGAACAATGAAAATTATCATGATGACATGTGGAAGGAACCTTTCTCCCTATCCTTGCTGGGAGGAGTCAGGCTCATTTCCTTCCTCCTCCCTCAGTGTCCTGCTCCCTTGCCTGTTATCTGCTCATTTTTGAGGTGGTTTTTGGAGATGTGGTAGGAAAACAAGCAAGGAAAGCAAGATGGGTCAGACACGGGAGCTGTGGATCCCTCCCATGGAGGCCATGCTTCTAGAACTCTTGATACTTTGTGGCTGAAAACTGATGGTGGTAGAGCGTGGTCACAGGTTACCCCTCCCCACACCTGATAGCAACTTAGGTGATAAAGGGCTGTGAAGTGACATCTTAACAGTAGAGTGATTGGTGACTCTTGGCCCTCTGCTCAGTTTTAATACAGAGAAATGAAAGGGGAGGAGGAGAGGGGGTGGGGAAGGGAAGCAGGGCACGGGGAGCGAGGACTTCTGAGACCAAGAGGGATAAACAGTTGGGATCACAGCTTTGGGGGTTATGACTACTTGCAAATTTTTATTGATGAATATTTTGTCTTATAAAACACTATTTACTCGAAAGAAGTGTATAGAACTTGTTTTTCCGGGGCACTACGATTCTTTGGAGCACATGCACTTTATCAGAATAGAATTCTCACCAGAATGAAACCGCCCTGGTCCTAAAACTAGACTGTTACCAGAACAGTAAATTGGGGTTTCACTATAATCAGCATAAAACACTTTTGTGCCGTGTCCTCAAGGGCGCATTTTAAAGCAGGGTTTCTTCTCAGAAGTTCCCAGCAAGGACAAGAGAAACAAGCCAAGGCCACTCACCGGGTCGCCTCCTGAGGCGAAGGAGATGGATTGCATGTGGTGGTTCGCTATGATCTGCCAGGGTGGAGACAAGAGATGAGAGGAGCCGTTAGCGCTGCCCCACGTGCTGCAGAGCCCGCCTGGCTGGCAGGCCACACAAATGACAACATTTCCTGAAAACCTCCCCCAGTCCGCCACAACTGTAAAACACTGAGACCGTAGGTCACCTGCCCACACTGTGCACGGCCTGATGGCTACCGTCTCTCTGGTTGACCATTTGAAAGCCTCATTACTCCTCCAGTGGGAAGCCCGTTTTACAGGCACAGAGCATGAGCCCAGAGGGACCAAGAGGCTTGTTCAAAGAAAGAAGTGTAGTGATTCCAGATCTGTGAAGTCAAGGCTCCACCCTGAGGCCAGCATCTCAACGACTGGACTTCTCCAGGACTTATAACCAGGGAGACCTGAGTTCAATCCCCCAAACCCATGTGACTAAGAACTGGGTGTGGTGGTTACAATCCCAGCACTGGGAAGGAAAAGATGGGTGGATCCCTGGGCCTAGCTGGACCAGCGGGCAAGCTGAATCAGCAGGTTTCTGACCAATGAGAGGCCCTGAATCAACCAGCATTCACTGCTTGATAGACAACAGCTGAGGTTGACCTATGACCGCCACACATATGCACACATATGTGCATAGACACCCATACACATTTGTGTATGTCCTTCACACAAATATATGCCACATACATGTACACACACACACACACACAAAGTAGGAAAAAAATACATCATACCAAAACATTACAACTTGTAGTTTCTGCTTCTCCAAACACCAGAGCCAAGACTGGGGGAGTGTGGCCTGTTTCACTCCATCCCTCTCATATCAGGTGTATATAAATCAGAAGGCCAGCAACCAAGAATTACAGTCCTCTCATAATCCACTGGTTTAAAGACCAGGGGTCCGTCCATATTTGTCTTCAAAATGGAAAATTTCCATCAGGTTTGTAAGCTGCAGCATCCGTGGAATTCAGTAGACACAGAGTGAATTAGAAGCTGCCCTAAATTCTAAAAGCTATGTAAGTCCTGCCTGCTATTTTTATCTTTTAAAGACAATGTAATGACATTGAAGAAAAGTTCTTGTGTGGAAAGGAGCTCCCAGCTCCATCCCAACACAGCCAGGTTTATTTCTGAGCCGTGCCCTCCACCCTTGTCCCTCAGCTCTTGTCACCCAGCAGACAGTGGGTCACAGAACATCAGAGAGAATTTGTGCTCCTGAAAACTCGGAATAAAATATCATTATAGGATAAAATTTTAAATATTTTAAAATGCCGACTTTGGCTGTTGACATTTGCAAAACCTCAATCTAGAGAAACCTGAGGGTTTAAGAGAATACAAAACAGTGAGACTGCTGGCTGGCCTGTGCCCAAGCCCCAGGCGACTAACTAATAATAGTTGCCCTAGAATCCTGCTACCTGCTGGCAAACAGCTTCGGAACGAATGATAAGGCAACCGAATCCCCAACAGAACACGAGGACTTTGGTGTCTCGTAGCCCAGGCTGATCTGGATTCAAGTCACTGAGGATGGCCTTGAACTTCTGATCCTCCCAACCTACCTGCCTACTGCTTGGAATACAGCTGTGCCTGCCATGCCCAGCATAAGTTCCTAGTGCTGCAGTTTTGTGTGTTTAACTTTTGTTTATTTAAGGAGCTGGCTCAGTTGATAAATTGGCTGTCACACAAGCATGAGGACCTGAGTTTGATTCCCAAGAACACATGAAAAAACTGGGAATGGAACCTGTAATCCCAACTCTGCAGAGCTAGAGAGAGGATTCCTGGGGTCCACTAGCCAGACAGTCTTGGCAAATCTGTAGACTCCAGACAAGTGAGAAACCCTGTTTCAAAAAATCAAGGTGATAGTATCTGACAATCTTCAGATGAAGTTGTCATCTGGTTCACACACACACACAACACACACACACACACACACACACACACACACACACACACAAAATACACCTTATGCACAAACACATGCGCGCGCGCGCGCACACACACACACACACACACACCAACTCTAAACCTGGGGTTTGGAAATTAAATTAGAAGCTATAATTTAGAAAAAAAAAGTCTAAGTCAAACTTGGCCAAGTCGCTATGTGATCACTATCCTGACTGCCTATCACCCCTCCAAGAGGGTGGGGGATCTGAGCCCAGCATTCTGTTCAGTGCAGCACTGCAGCTGTCAATCTGTGGTTCGAGACCCCTTTGGGGGTCACATACAGATATCCTGCATTTCAGATATTTATGTTACAAATCATAACGGTGGCAAAATTGAGTTATGAAATAGCAATAAAACAATTTTCTGGTTGGGGTCACCACATCACAAGGAACTGTATTAAAGGTCACAGCGTCGGGAAGGTTGGGAGCCACTGCTGCAGTTTCTTCCTCCTCTGCCGATTCCAGCCCTGTCCCTCTATTTGAACTTCAACATCATGGGGTGGGTGCTGGGTGGAGAAGGCAGGGCTTTTGCTTTCTCTATTTGCTACAGTGGGGACCTCAGGAAACAGGAAAGGCACAGCCATATACTTTACTGATGACGAGGACTGTCCTGTATCAACCTGGCCGGCAGCCCCTGGGTGTTGGGGAAACTGCACTAAGACCTGCCTAATACATGGCAGAGGAATGAGAACTGGACACCTAAATAGACCCAACTTGGATCATACCAAGGTGGAGCAGGGCCTCAGGACCAGCTATGCTAGCATTATCCTTACTGGACCTTCTTTGTAAAGAGAGAATGGGCAAGGAGGGTGGAGTGGTACAGCCCAGGGACCCCTAGAGGTGAGCGGCCCATGTGCACAGAGGCCAGATTCCAGTTGGCATGACTATCTTGAGCCTAGTGTATCAGCCTCCATGAGCAGCTGCAGCTCAACTTAAGACAACCTAGGAAAGGCTATATTGACTAGACTTCCCAGATCCACAGCCTCAAGAACTGGTTAGTCCAACCCTTAGAACATAATAGGAAAAGACAAGGGGTACCAGTGGGTCCCTGGAAGATAAAAGGGTAGAATAGGAAGTTGTAGTCAGATATGCCTCAACAAGGCCCTGATATGGCTCATCTGTGCATTAAATCTAACTAATTTGTCTCTGCATCTTGGGGATAGATGGTTGGTAGATAGATGGATAGATAGATAGATAGATACATACATACATACATACATGCATACATACATGCATACATACATGATAGATGATAGATATAGATAAATCCATATATACATACATGCATACATACATGATGATGATGATAGATAGATAGATAGATAGATAGATAGATAGATAGACAGACAGACAGACAGACCTAAAACATAGTCAGCACACAGAAGTACAACCATCCTACCTGGAATTTGTCTTTGTAAGTGTGGCTATGTTGCCTAGGTCATTCTACTCTGTCTACACTGTAGATATGCACAGTTCCTCAACCCTGAGATTGGATGGACTATATGAGGCTCCAACATAAGACACCATAAGGAAGAAAACTCCTGTCTAGCAAACTATAGCACACTATGCACCCCAAGGAAGCTAAGATTAAAATACAGCCCATAAAACTGATAAAGTGTGGCTATAAAACAAAGGCAGACACCAAGACATTTGCACAGACATCATTTCTTTATATTATAAACACACGGACCAAGCAGACATCATTTGGATCAGAATTCCAGAGAACCACTCATCCATCTGTGGGTGGATTGTCAAAGTGGCCAAAGTTCAAGTTTAAGTGGCAAGCAGGTTCTGCATGGGTTCAGTAAGCTGAGGAGGAAGACCTGGTGATGTCCACCCTGGGAAGCCCTGGGGATGCCCACCCTCGGGCCCAGAGGGGCCTGGGAAGCCTCCAACCTGTTTGGAGTCGGGAGTGCGCAGATTCAGGCTGGCAGTGGAGATGGTCAAGGAGATGCTCATGCCTGCAAACTGGAGGTTGCTCTTCCCCAAGATGTTGGACAGCACTTTACTCGGAGGCTGTGAAATCCAAGGGTGATATTTTAGCTTTTGACCCAGACTGTCTGAACGGGTGAAGGCAGAGAGGCCAGTGTACCGCCACAGACTCTCACTGACTGCTCCTACCCACTGAGGTGCCAGCTGACAGACAAATGTAAAATGGAGGCGCTGGGAAAATAAGAGCCCACGCCAATATGCACATCCAGCAATAGGAGGTAGGAAAATATAAATGCCTAATATGGCAGTTTGGGGGGGGGGGGGGGACTCCTCCTTGTCTTCCTGGTTGCCTTGACCATATGCCGGCATCTCCTGAGACTCAGATGTCAACCTGAAGAAACCACACAGCAGGGACATCATAACTTTGCAGACACACTAACCTTTTCTTGACACTTCAAGACTCAGACTGCCTCTTAGGGGAGTGAAAGTTGGATGGCACCAAGACTCAGGAGCAACCTCAGTAGGTCACCAGGCTCTCTCCTGAAGGGAGTCCTGTCCAGTCCTCACCTGGACAGTCCCATTAGACTGACAGCTCAGAGCCTGGGCAGGGTGGAGAGACAGGCTACTGTGTCCCTCAGACCCCTGGGCACATACTGAAGCCCTCTCTGGGTCACACTTTCCATTTGTTTCCATAGTCCTCTGCTCACTATGCCAAATAGCTCCTAACCAGCCGCACAGTTCTTTAATCCACTAGGAGAGAAAACGCAGCAACAAGAGCTGTCTAAAGTGGAATTGGGAAACGAGGAAGGTCACATCCCTCTGCTGAAGCTCAGACCACAGCATGTTCTGTGACTCAGATAAGAGGCCAAATCCAGACCTGCACACTGGCCTTGTACACCAACCTCTCAGTGGGGAGTAGCCTAGTTAATGAACCAATCAGAATGCATTTGCACTTTAGGGTGTCTGCCCAGCCAATGAACTGTCTCCAAAGACAACCTTTAATGGTAAGTCTCTATTTTAAAAGACTAAACCTCTGCTGAACTTACCTCTGGGGGTTGCCCTGGTTTGGCATTCCCATCTGCAGCTCTTTGCTTCTCAGATAGATGCTATTTCCTTTAGGATCCCTGCCATGCCAATTTTTTTCTTTTTCTTTTTATTTAACACTTCAAAAAAGCCCTTCAGAGAGCCCATCCCTCTGTGTGAGAGTCGGGTCAAGTGCATCTGGGCACAGCCTGGAAAGTTGCTGTTATCCCCATGTCTTCCCACCAAGAGAAAAATATGGGAACCACAAGACCTGTTAGGACCACCTGTTCTGAAAGATGATGGTCCTCCTTGCTGTTCCCAAGAGATACCTTGCTTCCTGTATTCAAGATTTGGGAGCTTTACTTAGTTCCCAGACCCCCCAGGGTACTGGCCATCATATAACCTGAGCTGTCAAGTTTTGTGCCCCAGGCCCAGTTGCCCTATAGGTTTTTGAATGTCCCCAGTTGTGAAGACAGAAGTGACTTGGAGCAAAAGCATCTGGAATGTGAAAGCTCAGCATAAGGATCTATAAGGTATGCTTTCCCACAAATCCCTTCTAGGTAGACAAAAGTCGTGATTGTGGGTGCTGAATTATTTATTTCTTAGATACTTAATGAGAGATAGATAGCTTAATTAAATATTTCCTTCTTTTTATTGATATATATGTATATACATATATATATATGTATCATATATGTACGTGTGTGTGTGAGTGTGTGTGTGTGTGTGTGTGTGTGTGTGTGTGAGTGCAAAGATGTGTGCATACATGTAGAGACTGAAGGTCATCAGGGGTCTTCCTGTAAAATTTTCTACCTTGTATTTGGAGAACAGAGTCTCCCAAAGACTCTGGAACATACCGATTCCACAACCCTGGCTAGTGAGTGAGCCCCAGCCAATGCTGGCCTGTCTCTTTCTCCAGTGCTGCAGTTACAGCCACATGCTGCCATGCCAGGCTTTTGACAGATGGTGGGGATGCAGACTCAGGTCTTTGCCAGCTGAGCTATCTTCCTAGCCCCCAGATATTTCCCCCTCCTAATCCAACCATATACCGAATGGAAAGTTCTAGAAGTATAGTTGAACACCCAGCCTCTGGAGCAGGTGGTCTGGCTTGACCATGGCCCCAGCTCCTATTCACATTGTGGTTTCTCAGCCCAAAGCCTCCGTTTTTGTCTTCTATAATAAATAGAGCTTTCCAGTGACATGGCTGAGCCAGCTCAGGAAAGCCGTTTATTATGTCTTCAGAAGTGTTACGAGCTGGCCACTAAGCACAGCTATTACTGAAAGTTAACATACACAAACTCACAACCACATAGATGGCATCTAAAGATGGTAAATACTTCTTGAGTCCTGGCTGTTTTTCTACCTGGTCCCATGCTATGTGAATCTGTGCACCTGAGTCCCATCTGCTGTACCTAAAGACAATACATACAACACAGAGAGGGGCTGCGACGTGGTTCTTCCTGACTCTTTCCAGGGACATTGTGTTGAAACTTGATGCATACACACATATTTATGCCACAGTAACTGGCATCATCACAAATTTAAGGTCCCCCTCCCAACCCCAGAATCCAGTTCTTAAGCATTTGCTAGCTTGTACTACTGGGGTAGCTGCTACACGTGTTGTTAGGTGTAGATGAATTCATGTTATGTAATGGGCTTAAGGGGATGCTTGGCCAGGTGTTGATTGGTATCACTGTCTCTAGGATTTAAGCCACATGAGTATCTACAACATTTGCTTGAGAGAGCCAGGGCAGGGTATTGTAGCCTTAGCTGGGTGCTTTCCCTTAAAAAGCAAGAAAGTCCAGGTCATGTAAGAAGACAGTGAACAGTTACGTGGGTGAAGGCATGGAGTATGGCCCTGAGAGGAGATGAAGGAGGAGACAGACACACAGTGAGGGCAACAGTACCTTTCTCTTCTTGAAGGCTCCTTTGGCACCTGGCACGGCTTCGCAGACACGGCTGATGGCTTCCCTGAGGGCAGGGAGAGATTCAGTTTATTACATGCCCGACAGAGTTATGCAACTCAGATAGTCTGCACTCAAAGGTCCAGAGGAAATAACTGCCTGCTTATTTTAGCATAGAAAATCGGCCCTCCAAGTGCCTCTCCTCCAACAAGCAGAATTAAGCCAAGCACTGGCAGGTCATCTTAAAACTTTTGCTATATTCTATCCTTCTTAGTGTGGTGGTGCCATGATCAATGCCACAGTTCCTTTTTCTTTTTCTTTGACATTTAACTAAGGTTTTGTTTTTTTAAAATCAGCACTTGATATGCACTCTTCCCAACGTTTTCTTTTAATTATGCCAATCACAAAGTCTTTAGAAATGTTCTTTCCGGTCAGAGCACCAGGAACAAGCCTTCCAGCCACCACAGCTCACTGAGATCCTTCTGAAGTGAGTTGGAAGGTCACTGGAGGAAACTTGATGTTCATTGTTTGATTCCCAGCTTCTGCAGTTTTAAGCACAGCCCACAAGCTGGGGCTAGAGCCCATTGGTGGACTGCTTGCCCAACACTTCTAAAGTCCAGTACCTCACAAAGCCAGGTTTGGTAGTACATACCAAAATCCTAGTAGGCGCAAGAGGACCAGAGGTTCAATGTTATCTTCACCTAAATGGTGAGTTTGAGACTAGCCTGGGATGCATGAGACCATGTCTCAAAAAATAAAAAATAAATAAATGAATACAGACAGACAGTCCCTGGCTTATCACTCAGCTTAGGGTTTTCTGGCTTTATGGTAGTGTGAAAGTGATTCATATTCAGTAGAAATCATACTTAGAATTTTTGACTCTAATCTTTATTTTAAGTTTCAAGTTCTAAAATATTTTAATTCTTGGTAAGTATGCATTCACTGTTCATATCGTAGTAGGTCAATGTATAGCACATAACACACTGATCAAGTCCAGCCTTCCTTGATCCATCTTCCACCAACACATGCCACACACACACACACACACACACACACACACACACACACACGCAAAACTAAAGCCCTCTCTGCCAAGCTTGCATGTTCTACCAGGGTCTAAAAGTTCAGTATATTCTCCACAATCATTTTAATTTGCAGTGGGCTTAAAAGTCAAGGAACTGTTGTATTAAAAAAAATACAGAGAGTTTAAGAGGAGAAGGATGAGGCAGTGTTCAGGGCAGATGCACAGAACAGTATCAACTGTGCAGTTCTACATGCCAGGCATTGTCCCGAGTCAAAGAATGGGAGTGCCCAGTGTGGGAGACACTGATAGGGTCCAGTAGGGCAGTCAGTCGGTCTTACCCTGTGGGGGCTGGAGAACTTGGAATAGAGAAGAGTCCAGACAAGGAGGCTGTGGAGGTTCAAATGCAGGTGTGGCCGGAACTCCCATGACCTTGAAGACACCCACAGCTCAACCCGTGACTCACTGTAAGTGGAAGCGACTGGGAGAAGGGCTGAAGGTGGCTTCAAGTCAGCAATGCCTAAAGGAGCTGGAAAAACTCCTCAACTCCCACATAAAGAGGGGGGAAATACTGCAAGAACAGAGGAAAAAAGCAAACAAAGCAGGCCAAGAGATGGGCTGAGTGAACAAGAAGACAATGGCTCCTTAGACCATCTTCCCAGGTGGAATACAATCAATGTCTACCATCCAACTGAAAGACAATCACAATTACAATGCAACTGCTTCAGGAAATGTCCTTGTCAAATTAGGGCAGCAACCATGGAGGCGAGCTTCATGTTTGCCATCTGACGCGGTGTGGAGAGAGGAGAGGAAAATGGGGTTTTGACAGTTCAGGCGCCAGGAAGCCTGCACAGTATGAGTCACCCTGGCCTGGAAAAGTGAAGCCGGAGCAGATGTTTGGGATGACAACGCTGCTCCTGTTTATTGTATAATAGCCAACTAACTGTGCTTGTATCAAAATGATCAAATATGTACCATCTAAAATCTCCTCAAACTCCCTGTTTGCTTTCGGATCACGGGTGTGTTGTCTTTTTTAATTAATGAGTTACTGCATGTGTGCCTACATGTCTATGAATGTGCACACCCCTGTGTACATGCAGAGGCCAGAGGATGATGCTAGGCATCCTGTTCACAAATCTCCACCTTATTCTTTTGATACAAAGTTGCTGGATGAATCTGGAGCTAGGCTGGCAGCCATGTAAGACCCAGCAATCCTCCTGCCTCCACACTTCCCCCAAGAGCAAAGGTGTTATAGGCATGTGCAAACAAGCCTAGTTTTTGTTGAATGAGTGCTAAGGATTTGAACTTGGGTCCTCATGTTTGCAAAGCAAACACTATCTGCTGAGTCATTTCCCTAACTCCTATGCTGTCCTTTTATAGGAGTATATAAGTCTCAATATCTGTTCTACCTGTTTAATATTTTAAGGTGTGTTTTATTTTTAATTATGCATATATGTGTGAGGGAGTATGTATATATGTGAGGGCAGGTACCGTCAAGGGCCAGAAGGGGGGCAGTTAGCTCCACAAGAGCCAGAGCTATGGGTGGTTGTGAGCTGCCCAGCCTGAGTTTTGTGAACCAAACTGTGTCCTCCGCAAGGACAGTGTGTGCTCTTACCCACGGAGCCCTCTCCCCAGTCCCTTACCCATTTAATTTTGCATGTCTGTATGGATACATGTGGGGGCTTGAAGTTAGCCTTGGGTGTTGTTACTCAAGACACTATATACCTCGTTTTCTGTGTCAGGGTCTTTCCCTGGCCTGAAATGTACAAATTCTGTAGACTGGCTGGTTAATGAATGCCAAACACACCCCTGTCTCCACCTCCCCACACTGAGACTGCAAGGATGGACCACTGTGTCTGATTGTTTTTTATTTGGTTAGTTTTAATTTTATGTAAACATATGTTTATGTGAGTGTGTGTGTGTGTGTATCACATGTGTGTCAGCACCCACGGAGGCCAAAAGAGGGCGTGAGATCACCTGGAACTTCTGCATTATATTTACTAAGAGATGGATTTAGCTCAACAAAATAGCTAAATCTCTGATGGTCTCAACAAGCTAAAGAGATGACATGCAGGAATGCCTCTCCTTGGTCATTCTTTCAACACCCCCAGTAATTCCTAGATTTTTTTCCCTGCCCCACTAACATGGAACAGCATAGGAAATCAAGCATTTCACAGTCCTCCAAAAGGACTCCCACTATCAGAAATCTAGCCTAGTCAGCCACTAGCCATTTGCAGCTGGTTTCTACCCCAGGGAGATACAGGCTCATCAGTAGTCAGCGGGGAGGGACAAACAGAAAGTCCTCTCAGGGAGACCCGTGAAGTTCCCATAGCACAGTCACACACTCCAAGCGAGCCCCATGGACACCCCTGTGAGCTCTCAGAAGAATCTTCTGAGGTCCTCGAAACAACATGCTTTTCAGAGAAGTGTGCCGCCTTAGAACAGCCACAGAATTGTTTCTGATGCTCACGTGATCACTCCAGCGCGCAAATCCTTACTTCAACCGGAGACAGTGTCTATTTCTATTTGAAATAGAAATGACACACCATTAAAAACAGCAATATTTAGATGTCTGAAATTAGTTACTTTAACTCCAAGGTCTAATTTTAAATGGAGCTATTCTCAGTTTCCTTCCTGGCTGTTTTGGTGAGCAGTACTGTCTCAATTTGTTCACTTAGCAATAATTTAGTTTTGTGTAATTCCATTTAATCCCTTTTTGGAACCCAGGTACCAATTTTGCTGTTTTTAATAATAGAGATTGCTTCTTAGCATTCCACTCAGTACAACCCCATTTTGAGAAGCTAAATCCTGACCTCAGCGCTCCACTAATACAAAAATGGAACATTTGGCAAACCCAGCAGTCATCTGAAAGCTACCAGAGAAAGCCCTGCCAAAATGCTACCCTTCAGGTTTATGATTGCACTGTATTTCTCCACTCAGGCCTACAGTCTCATCAATAGGACAGACACCTCTCACAACTGAAGCTTATTCTCACCAGTGAAGAATTCTAAAACCAGACTTTGCACAAACACTCACAGTCATGTCTGCATATTTGCACACATATGTATAACAAGCATGTGTCCATGCCTGCACGGATACTTTTCAGAGTGAATCAATAAAAAATGTAACAGTAGAACAGTAGAGTAATTTCTTCCCTCTTCAAATTAGATTTAAGTATGGGGAAAGAACAATGAAAAATGAAATACATAGAACTTGGTAAGTTAAGTTCACATTAAGGCACACAAACACACACACACACACACACACACACACACACACACACACACACACACACAGAGTGATGAACAGCTAGCTACTCAAGGGGAAACTTAATTTCTAGTTCATGCCTCAAATGTAAATCAACTCTTGGCGGATCACAAAGAAGCTGTTGTGATTCTTAAATAACAAAAGTATTAAAGAAACTCGGGAAGAATTATTTTTAATGATCTTTGGGTGGAAGGTTGATATGAAAATGATATATCATAAATGGAATTACTAATGCAAACAGTGGCATCAAAATAAGAATCTAGGCAAGCCAAGAGTCAATTGTCTCAAAATATGTTGAAAAAACCATCATAAGCCCAATGGGCAAAGCTAAGACCAGGGACAGGGGGATTTCAGACAAGGAATGACAAATGGTTCTTGAAAACATGGGAAGCTTCTCAATCTGATCTTTGGTTGCTCATGTGCCAGGTCAGCGAGTTCCAGCAAGTAGGGCAAGGAGGTGGGTGACATCATAGCTCTGAATGACATGAGTGGTCACAGCAGGAACCTAAACTCAGACAGCCATAGATGCATCTACATAAAAACTACAGGGCGAGAAAGAAGATATTCTATAGAAGGGGTTTGTGAATGTCCCATCAAAAGGAGGAGAAAGGTAAGGCTGTCCTAACAGAGCAGAAGACACGATATACTCGACAATCGTGGGACAGGAAATGGGACTCATCTGATGGATGAGCAGCCAATATCCTATTGAAAATGTCCTGAGAATATTTTCAGTTAATTCTGGATTGAAACAACATAGGGTCATAAAATAAGGAAGAGCT